TATATATATATGTGTGTGTGTGTGTGTGTGTGTGTATGTGTGTGTAGGGGGGTACAAGGGGACCTTGTGAGCTGGAGAGCTTGAATAATTATCAGCAGGCCAACTTCCATTTTGATGTGTTGCTGCATCTAGGCGCAAAGAAAATTAATTTTGAAAACTGGGTTTCTACATCAAAATCCAAGATGGTCATCACCATATGCTATATATGGAAAACAGCCACCCTTATCATTTGAGGAAACCATGCTAAGGCCACCACTGGTCATCCACCGGCTCCACCATTGCACCTGGTGGTTGAGAAAAATGACTCCCCCAGGATTCATCCCTCTGCACTGCCTGGGACAAGAAAAAATCCTTACCTTTGTTCTTATACACAGTTTAACTCCTACCTTCTTGAATATTTGCACCAAAACCATTAATAATTACCTTTTTGCTCTGTTTAATCCCAGTCCAGAAAAACACTCTTCTCAAAAACTATAAACATTCACAATTCAAGTCCTTCAGTGATGCAGGTCATTTGCGTATCGCTTGTTCAAGTTGAAGCATTTTTGGTTTATGAAATTGATTAAAATTGTATATTTCTCCTGTTATTTCTTTCTCCTTTATTTTTTTTAGGAAAAAGTAAAAAGCTTGACCAGTGTAAAAATACTCAAACATATCCCCTGAGTGAGACCCAGTATTGCCCCTGTAACAAATACAACGCCCAGCCCGTGGGCAACTGGTCAGACTGTATACTACCTGAGGGCATCCGTATGGAAGGCCAACTTGGCATGAAGGTCCAAGGTGACATCAAGGAGTGCGGCCAAGGATATCGCTACCAGGCCATGGTGTGCTATGACCAGGATAACAGCATCGTAGAAACTTCTCGCTGTAACAGCCATGGTAGGTATTTTTCTTAAAGAACACTAGCTCTTTGGTGTTCAAGATTTTAGAACCATTCAGGTGAACAAAGTTTAAACTGGAAGTGCGATGAAGAAGGGATAGTTTCTAGATTGAGAAAAAATGCTGTAGATGAAAAAAATGCCGTTTTCAAGCAGTCTGACTCATTTGAGATGAAGTGTGTTTTGCCTGAAAAGCAGTAATCTGTATCTCTTTGACATTATAGTTCAGGGTGTGCAAAGCTGAGAACTTCTGCAGATGCCTTTGGTCCTTGACACATAAACCAATGGAGTTGACTAAATCCTGCAACACTGTGTGCTTACACTAATGAGGTCAACATGCTGTATCCAGAAGAGTCACAGTAACAATGTTCATTAGAGTGGGGCCTGCCTTTGTGAATGTTCCCATTGCTGGCTTAAATCAGCATCTCACTGGTCTGCAACTGTTGGAGACTAGTTCCAGGATCTAAACTGTGGAAAACGTTTAAAAAGAACCCCAGCAGTCTCAAGGAATGAGTACTAATGACATTGTATTTGCTTAAAGTTTACACAGACTTCAGTGGCATAGCAAATTTTATCATTATGGGGAATTTCCACTGTCACTCCACTGCTTCTTGACAATCGCATACAATTCTTGCGAAGGTTGTGCAACTCTGGTGCAATAGTTATACATGACAGTTGAAAAATTTGAGAGCTGTACTCCGGCAGAACCAAACCATTAAGGACAAGTCTGAGTATTTAAAGACATCCAAGCCTGCGTTTTTAGGTTGTGTTTCATGAGAGTCAGAGCCACATAGATAAGTTGTACCAATACAAATCCCTGTTGATAGACTAATTTTGAATGCATACAGTTGTTCTGAAATATTCTGAAACTCTCATGTGAAGGCTGCTTGTAGTTTGTTAGTAAAAGTAACCGCTCAGTGAGATGGCTTTAGCAGCATAACATGAAATAATCTGTATTACAATAATGAAAACATGGAAATGTAAGAATAATTCTTTCCTTATTTGATGTGACATCATATTGATATGGTGACATGTTTTTAATGGTACTGATAGTTTTATGTGACTAATTAAAGGGTACATTGAGGAAGCTTGCATCATTCCTTGCCCATCTGACTGCAAACTGAGTGAATGGTCCAACTGGTCACGCTGCAGTAAATCATGTGGCAGTGGGGTCAAAGTTCGCTCTAAGTGGCTCAGAGAAAAGCCCTACAATGGTGGAAGACCATGCCCTAAACTGGACCATGTCAACCAGGTGAGCTGCATCTTTATGTTGAAGCAAAATTTTAAATTTGTTGTTGTATTTATTAGAACAATAACCTCATTTGCCTCTTTTGTCCATTGTTTTTTTCATTTGTGGTGAATGAATTCCATCAACAGGCTCAGGTGAGCAATTTAATTTCTTAGAGAATGAGTACTATAATGCACAAATAATAAGTTAAACTGTACACTGTTTCATTTTAATAATTTAGCATTCTTTGAATGTGTCTTTTTGGCATAGATACGACTTAATTGTTGAATTAAATTCATTATTTGAGTACTGAATTGGATAACTTGAGTAAAACACTTTTCCTAATGCTAAATAAAAAATAGACAATAATCCAATTAATGACTAAAAAAATTGTTGTTGTTATCAGTTGGAAAAATTACAGATGTAAGTGTGGTATTTTGTGCCAGGTCTATGAGGTGGTGCCTTGTGTCAGTGACTGTGGACAGTTCGTTTGGATAGCAGAGCCGTGGAGTGTTTGGAAAGTTAGTAATGTGGATATGAGAAAAAACTGCGGTGAAGGTGTGCAGACCCGGAAAATCAGGTGAGATGAGCCCAAATTATTTTTTAGTTTGTAAGCAGACTTAAAAAAAAATGCATTTTCTTATAGCTCTCAGCCACACTCTGAAAAAAAAAAAAAAAAAAACTATACTGTTCTAAAATAATTTCCAAAGTGGATATTTATTTATGAACATGAGGTTTAAAAAGGATACATGATACAGAGCTATTCAGAAAGATAATGAAGCAACATATTTTGAACTTGCTCACTGTCACATTGTGCCTCAGAAACCAGAACAACAATGGAGCTGTTTTTAGTTTTTATTCTGGCTCGGTCTGGTATTGTCCTCATCCTGTCAACAATTAAACTTGGAAATAAGAGCAAACTGTAAACTGCATCGAGGACAAATGAGTCTGTGAAAAGCCTGAAAAGACGTGGCCAAACTAAGAGTATTTTTTCTCTTTTTTTTGTCCCACGTCATGGAGAAAAAGGGAAATATGGATATACATTTCAACCGTCCAACTGTGAACATTGTGAGAGTGATAACTCGAAGAATAAGAGATGTACCAACTTCATACGAAAAAAAATATCTTGAGTACTAAAAACATTCACTATTCAAATTCTATAGCTACAGGGTACATGGGCGTACTTCCTGTTTGATGTGTTGTCAGTGTGGGCGTTCCCACACTGTGTGGGTGTGTCAGTGTTTTTGATAGAATGTTCAGCATACGCAAGAAACAAAAACAGAAAAAAATATCAATTGAAAATAATATCTGGAGTCATACAGACAGAATCCAAGTCCAACATTCTAGTTCTGAAACTCCTGCTTTTGCTGCAACAGCTTGGACGGCAAGTTTTATTCATTATAGTAAACAAACATCATATGTGTTTAAACCTTGAAGGCTTTAAATGTCCTTAAAGTAAAAGTGGTGGAGGAATAAAGCTTAGATTGAGCAATTATGATGACAGTTATGATCATTAAGCTTCATGGCCTAATAAATATGTCTGAAAACTTTATACCAATGCCAAAATGTTTTTGAAACATGAATGTTTGTGTGAGCAGGTGTATGCTGAACACTGTAGACGGGCCCTCTGAACAGGTTGAGGACTACCTGTGTGACCCAGAAGAGATGCCTTTAGGGGCCCGAAACAGCCATCTGCCCTGCCCTGAGGACTGTGTGTTATCTGACTGGGGGGCCTGGAGTCCATGTCCCCTGGTAAGAAAAGACTGTTAACTCTACCTTCATTTTTTGCTGCTATTTTAGTCAAAAACTCACTGTTTTTCTGTTTTAGATATAGTTGTTTGGCTAAATAGAAAGAAGGAGCGAAAGAAAAGTAAAGATAATCAGAAAGTTAAATTTGAGCAGGAATTAAAGTTCTCCATCACCACAAAGGATTTCCATCGTTCTGAACACTGGTGGTTCTAACAAGACGAAACATTTCAAGTCAGTTCAGTTCAGTTTATTTCTACAGCGCCAACAGAAGTCATCTCAGGGCACTGAACAGAAACATTCATATACTGTATAAAAATAATAAGTTAACAAAAACATTCATAAAAAGAATAATTTAACACTATATTTCAACAAGAATATATATAGGTCTATTAGTTATGTTGGAAGAGTTAACTCTAAGTGTGCATTCACACCAGCCCTGTTGTCCCGAACTCTAGCCCGTTTTTCTAGGAAGTCCGGTTCGTTTGGGGAGGTGTGAACGTGCCATCGAACTATGTCACGGAAAAAAAAAGGCCAACTCTGGCCCGGTCTAAAACCTAGGTCTCGGTCCAGTAAAAGAAAACTCTAGCGCAGTTCAAGTACAGTGTGAATGCAATCAGACCGGACACCGCTCCGCAAGCAGGAAGTGGAGTACAGCACAGGACAAACAAACACACATTTATCTTACCTCATATGAAGCTGTCAGTTGTCTTGTGTGAAAAACAACATTCTCCATGGTCTTCTGTCTCATCTTCTGCTCATACTGAGTCCATTGTTGAAAAATGACAAAATAAAACTCCTAAAACTGCTAAAAGTTGATGCCACCCCGTTTTTGTTTTTATTTCCAGAAGAAGAAGAAGTGTCTTCTTCAGAGGTTTTTGTATCATTTCTTTCAGTAGTTCTTGGTGCAGCGCCCCCACAGGCGAGCGGGGGAATAGGTTGGTTCAACAGGTTGACTCGACTGCACAGTGCAGTGTGAATGCAAACACAACACCTCAAATGTAAACAAAAGGTCATGAATATTGGTCCCCAACCGAACTGAGTCTACCTGACTATCATGTGTGAAAACAACCTCAAAGCAAGCTGTGCTGAAGCTCTGGCCTCTGATGATGTCACTGAATGGATCTATTGAATGACTTAATGAATCATGGATTGTTAAGATCTGGTTCCCTTCAGAGAGACGTATATTCCATCTCTAGTGTTGCGTGCATAAATTCTGAATCACTTTTGCGTGTCCACCAGCTTTATGCATGGCTATAACTTTGTTTTGTATTGGCCAAACTGCACAAATGACCCCATGTTGAAATCCTTAGATCAGGGGTGTCAAACCCACTTACAAAAGAGGGCTAAAAATAAAACCTTTTTCAAACTAAGGGCCGGTTTCAGAAGCTACATTAACTCAAGTTAGATAACCAACATCTTTTCTTGGTTGGAGGTTCCTCAACAAGAATTTGGTCTCATTTGATGTTTCCTGCTGGACTTTTGACATCATAATCAAGGATTACTGAAAAAAATTCAAGTGATAAAAGTATTTTACATTTAAAATAACATCTTGGGTGCCAGATAAGATGTCAACGAGGACCACATTTGAGTTGAGCACATATGCCTTAGATCATATAGAATCAAGCTAAAATCAATACGCTCACATCAGTCCTACCAATCATCAAATATAATGAGATAAAGACGTGTCTTTCAGACTGAGACATTCGCCATCATCCAAACAGCTCCTTGTAATCAGGTCAGAAAGGTTGATTTTGGCCACTGGACTGGGAGATTTAGTTGATCATTAAATACGGTTTTATTCAGTTGGATTTAAGATTTGTAGAAAAAATGACCAAGGTAAATTTTTTTTTTCATTCAACCTTTATTTATACAGGTTAGTCTCATCGAGCCACGAGGACTCATTTACAAGAGAGATCTGTTCCAGACAGAACATATAAAGTACAGACAACAATAGCAGTAAACAATAACAATAAATTACAGTAAAAATCAAGTACAAATAAGAGTAGTGTATAAAGCAATAAATCAGGGTGCCATAAAACAGGGTGAAATACTACAAACAAGAACATACTGTATTTGCTTTGATTTTTCTATTGACATCATCAAATGTCCTGAAACTTGTACTAATATATGTAAATAAATGACTAATAAAACAAACTTTAATATATGTAAATTGTTTAATTTTTTTAGACATTTATTTTGTACAGTCATAACTGTTAATGAATGTGCCTGAGATGAACCAGAGACCTAAATGAATATTGAGATATTCATTTAGGTCTATATTGCCCAGCCCTAGGTAGGGGAAACTATGTTTACCTTACCGTGACATGGGTGTGTGTTACACAAGACCTCCTGTGAAATATGAAAGTTTAGATTGTTTTACAAGCAGGAGGAAGGATTCTGGTTTTGTATTGCTGCTGGTTGAGTAAATCCTGGTTGAATTATGATGAAACTGCTCTCAGCCGACATGTAGAAGCTGAGGGGTAGACATCCACAACTCAGTTTTGAATTCACAAAACTTTGTGCACTTTATTTACTTGTTGATTCAGCAGCTTGTAGTTTTAAATGTTTGGTCATCACAAATGTTTTATGAGCTTTTAGCCAAGGTTCTGATGTTTTGTGGACCACATAGATCTATATTTAACTAACAGAGTTCATGCTCATGGAAGGAGAAAGCAGAAAGTGCAATTCTGCCCCAATACTGGGGGCATGGGGCTGAAGAGTTTAACATTTTATTCTTCTTTTACGGTTTACACATCAAAATATCAGCATTTTGTCTGTTTATTACAAAAGTCCCAAATTGCTTTTTGAGCTGTAGCGAAGATGATTGATGGATATTGGGATTTTGAGAAATATCTGCTTTGGTACACTTCAAAACTTTCTTAAAAAAAATTTAAATTGTAAATAAACAGTGACCACTTAGGAAAGCACTCTCACAGTACAAGGAAAAGCAATGAGAAACAATAGAAACTGATGAGTTTAGCAAAATAAAAACATTTAACTGTGCAGTGATTGCACATATTTGATAATTGATCTGCATGTAGTCTGGTGGTTCCTACATGAGACGATCAGAAATTGTTTTTGCTCATGGTGCATAAACGGTGCATAACAGTAAGGACTCTTTCTTTGCTTCTCAGCCGTGTAGTGAGAACAGGACCCATGAGAGGGTTGCCTATCCAGTCCGAAAACCAGGAAAAGAGAAGACATGTCCTCCAACAACTGAGTCAGAACCATGCAAGCTCAACAGGAACTGCTTCCACTACTTTTACAACATCACAGGTTGGTGTCATCCAGCACCGTGAATACAACGTGACTGGAGCTACATTAAGCTGTTGGTACTCATGTCCCTGCAGACTGGAGCACCTGTCAGCTCAGTGACAGAGCAGTGTGTGGACATGGCATCAAGACCCGCATGCTCGACTGTGTGCGTAGCGATGGCAAATCTGTGGATCTTAGCTTCTGTAAACAGGTAAGATGTTTATTATAATTATGTACAGCCCCTTTAACACAGACTCACACGATGAACTGAAGGGACGTCCTCAGGCAGCATCTGTACTGTCTAGTTTAGTGGACAGGATGTGCTCACTGAATAACCTGGATGCTGATGGGAATCACTTTTTCTCCACCTCAACTCAAAGTAATGTGACATTATGGGGGTGGGGGGGTGTTTCAGAGGTTAAAGATGGCAAACTTTTGATTAGAAGGTTCAAATTCCTGGACTAATAACAAAAATGTTTGTAGAAGAGCTGGCGTACCGCCCTCATTTGCCCCACTCTGGGCCCTTGAGCAAGGCTTTTGACACCCCC